TATATATATATATATATATATATATATATATATATATAATTATATATATATATAATTAAGACCTCGATCAGTAGGTACACTTGCTGTCTTGCCACTGTAATAGAAATCGCTTCTACAGGAAGTTAGAAAAGAAAAGTGGCTTTGACAGCAGTGAATAAATTCTGCTCACATCCAGAGAAGCAATTTTAATGTAATCCCTAAACATATCTATTATGTCTAAATCCAGCTACTGAAGCCTGAGATAAACACTTTATAAACAAATAATGTCTTCTATTTCTCGCAATTGTATTAATTTCTGACCAGACAAATCATTTATACTAAAATAACTACCCCTCCTTGTGGATATATAACATTTGAAATGGAAACTAAAGAGATTTTTAACACTATAGTGTGTCCTGAAGGAAAAAAATGAACAAAGAACATTTGGGTCCATAGGGAGTTCTATCAAATCTGATAACCCGATTCCTATTATGTCTGAGTCAGTTGGACGAAACAGCTTTTTGAAAATGAAATGAGCAAACAAACAAAAAAAAAAAAAAAAAAACACAATACATAACACAATACCTGGGGAATATGGAATTGGAACAAAGAAGTGTTAAACAGACCAGCTTCACAGATCCACTAAAGCCACATTAATACACAAGCAGTAAGTAGGAATCTGTATTACAGTAGCCTTTAGGGTTTAAGTGAGAGCACTTTTAAATATTAAAAAACTCTTATTCTGATCGTATACAGTCTTCGCAGTTTGATTAAAAACCCTAAATTCTTGTCATGAAATTATACATTTAGAACAGTGTGTCAATTTCTGTTCACATAGGTTTTTCCTCCTTGTAAACTTTTATCAAGATTCAACATCATCTGCTGTAGTTCCTGAGCATAAGAGTAACAGCAGAGAGACTGCTGACATGTAGTCACTGCCGAATTGTGTTGATTTCACATGCTACTTTTGTTCAGGCATAAAGGTGACCTTGCTGCTCAATGGAGGGTTTAATAATGGACGTGACAGCGTTGAGTTCCTGCAGCTCTTCCTGCAAAATGGATCAAATCTCTGCATGTTTAATCTGCTTGTAGTTACACAATATATACCAAAAAACTTTATCTACTGTACCCATTAATCAAGTCGTCAAAGTTAACAGGAATATAGAAGTCAGCCTGAGCACATAGTGGCTGAGCACGCTTAATTAATGTTTGGGAATAACTGGCAGCCATTTAAAGGGTAACATACATCTTGTAAGACTTAATTTGGGTGCATGTATTTACATGTGAGCTCTTTACAAAGAAAAACCCTCAACTCATCGTACAGCCTGTCAGGTATCTGTCACTTAAGAGTTTTTAAAATTTACTTTCTAGAGGCTGAACCATAAATACAACCTGAACCAAAATTCTTTTTATTGTTTAATTTTTTAATTTGATTATTGAAATTATACGTCAAGTGGTTGGGATAGTTTTCACTGTCTTTTTTTCTTCTAATTTAATTTCCTTTCTGTTACACCTTCTTCAAAATGGGTCTTTTTCTTTAGCAGGATCAGCAGTAGACATATGAGCCTTAAATAGCTCATAATACATGAATGTTTACTCAGTGGCTCTTTTATAACATAACCTGCATTATAATGGCTATCATGATGACTAGTGAAGATATTTTTAGTGAGGAAAAAGGATAAAAGTCTGAGGAAATGCAATAATATTACCAAACGGTGCTAGTAAAGGGGTTATCCTTAAATATTTATTAATTTGCCTACTAAGAGCACAAACCAAATTTGATTATTAGGATTATAAGAATAAATTATATGATGTGAAACAAATACTCGAATATCCTGCTGTGCATCAAAATATTGACATGTTTCAAAGGAAATGAATACAATTAAAAGTTTTGCACAACTGAACAGTCCAATTTCCTTTAAATTTAGTAATTTACATGCAAAGTGCCTCTGAGGAAAAATTAGGCATCTGAGAGCCCCCGAAGAGTACTTAAGGCGGCAAACTGAGAAACCACTGAAAATTGGGACAGTTAGGCTTACTTTTAGTTCCAAGTTCATCTTAAAAGCAAATTCAGATCCTATTCCTCAAAGATCTTATCAAATAGTGTTTTGTTGACAGAAACAGTCAGTAATAAATTAAGTTTCATCTTCCATGCATATAGCGTTTGTTATTAGTTCTAGTGAACATTTGTGAGTTGTGAAATATGATGGTACAGCTGTATTTCTTTTATAACTGCATAAACACCAGTGGTAAACAAACATCCATGTGTGCACACTCACGTTGGCTTAGATGCCTCAGCTTGGTCGGTCTGGAGTTTCTCTCCTCCCTCCACCTCCATGGTGCAGTAAACAATCCTGTTTGGGGCCAGAGACTTCAGCCCCACCACTTCCATGATCACCACCTGGGAAGCAGAAAAGCCTTAGAGAAGTACGAAAAGGAGAAGTGACTCATCTCTTAAGAGAGGCTGGAGAGCAAGAGGGTCAACAGCAAAAGAGCGGGCAGGAAAATCCACCCAGAAATACTATTAAAGCCACAGTGGGGTTTTACATTCACAGCTAGTTTCTTCACTGTACAATGGATCCTGGTTGATTTTCCACTCAAAAGGTCTGTAAAAATGGCAACTATTCTCGAAGGAGCCTGCAACTCCCAATCCTCAAAACGGCTAGCAGACATGATCTGCCACATAAAGTATTATAGTATTATATTCCTCTTTATGAGTTCAGTGTCTACATTTAGCTCTGCTATGGCCAACAGTAACCGTAAGACAGCAACCATGACATTCAGAAAGACAGCCAGAAGCGAAACATGTTCCATCAGGATTGGAGTGCTTTCAATAAAACATTCAGCTTATTCTATTGTTATTAGCCTGAGAGTTTATTAGCTTCTGCTATACAATAATGTATTTTTGATAAGTCGTTATACAGATACCTTTGTAGTCTAACAGTTCTACTCATTCTGTTTGCTTAGACACAAAAGGTTTATTATTATTTTTGGTAATTGTAGAGAAAACTTAAGTTTCATTGGAAATCTGTGGAATCATATATAAGAAGGATCAAATTAAAAGGTAAGCTGTCAGAAAGCTTTGAGATTTATTTACAAATGCAAAAAAGGTGTATGTTTTTTTCTAGCTATTTAGAAATACATTAGTCAATTTCATGGAAACTGCATCAATTTGTGGCAATGTGTTTATTTTTTTTACAGATTACTTACAAATGTATGGCGGTAACTTACCAATTATAACAGCAACCAGTGCATGTAAAATATCAGTATCTGCTGCATTCTTTTACTTTAATCAATGCTCTTCAACTGTTTAAATGTATCTGTTTAATATAGAATGTACATTATTCCAATGTAATTTAAAATAAGCTCCACTAAAATCACATATAAACTATCTAATTTATGACCTAATTTATCCAAGAAATTTCTCATCAATTGAATTTTTATAAATTCAAATAAGAAAAGGAAAAAGTATACCCTTTAACCATCTTCTTGGTGACTTCATTTTATCTGTTTTGTCTGTGGTTTAAAGGGTTCATAGAATGGTTATATAGAATATTTGGTGCTGGTCTTTAAGGTCTCTGAATAGGGTGTGTAACATTGGTTGGGCTGAAAATGGCATATTTGCTGTTTTATGAGCCCTAATGCAAGCCTGGTTAAAAGCCCTTAAATTAAATGTCAGGTCTTCTTCCTTTTATGGTATGCTCATGAATATTTAGATGAGCTGTGTGCTGATTGGTTTGTTTACAACGAGCAAAGCTGCTGAGCAAAGACGCATCATAGCAACAAGCACTCACTCAGTGAAAAATTAAAATTGTTGATATGGTAGGGTGATCTGATGTCCTCTTTTTCCCGAACATGTCCTACTTTTCATACCTAAACGTTTCATACGTCCATTCACCCACTGAACTATTGTTATTCAAATAAGGCAATATAAACTTGGTTTTGCATTCTATGACCCCTTTAAAAGAAGAGTATTTGGACCTGCTTCAAAACAGCTGCTAATTTGCTGGATATTATGGTGTTTGCTCCTGCATCCAAATAGTGTCATCTGCTTTGTGAATCCAATGCAGAATTAAAGAAAATAGCCTTGAGAGAGCAGTTAGAAAAAAATAGATTTCACTGCTTACTTAATTTCTATCACAGTCCTACATGTTGGTGTTAAATTATGTGAACAGAATATGGACCCCCAATGCAGGCTGCTGCTAGGTGCATTAGTTGTTGCTAAAGGAGCCTTACTCAAATGTCTGAGTTGTGCAAGGTGTGGGCTGTAAACTGCCCATCTTGATTTAAAGGTTTTCAGATGTCTTGAGACTATATATTCTATGTTTTTAAAATTTCTCTCAATTTCCTGCTTCTCAAAGAAATTATAGATGGACCTGGAAAGCTTTGTTACATTTCTTAAGTTGTAAATAAACAGGACATATCTAGAAAAACTGGTTTGGTTTTGGTTTAAAAACTGGTTTGGTTCGCCAAATGGTAATGCAATCCATGACACCTTTGCAAAGTTATCTGCAAAAATGAAACCTTTAACATGTATTGGACTAGGTATAAGGTAGTAGTACTGTTTCAGGTTCCTCAATCAGAGAAGAAGATTTTTCTTTTTGGTACTATTTAAGTGCAAAAACAGTATAATGCCCTTACTTTACTATTTCACAGTAAGGGCATGATGTACTTTAGTTATATTGACTATTCACAGTCAGGAATGCACCCATTGACTGCAAAATAGCACTGCATCATAAGGGAAGAGAGGTGTGATTGCTCTCTGTTCTGTGGTGATAGCTCATCTGAGACAAGCTGATAACAAGATGAGTCACATTTCCCATTACGGAGCAGGTAAATAGGTTTTTATGCATGCATGTGTACATCAGTCTGTTCTTCACACTGCGTCTGGCCGACCGTCTGAACAGGTGTGCTGTCTGCTTCTATTTTTAGTATTGAGCAGAGAAGTGTTTCTCATTAGCTTCGATTTCTTAAGTCTCGCTCAGGCAGGTGCAGCTTTGCACGGCACTAAGACATTTTTTTAAGGATCATAATAGTAGACCTTGGTTAAAGTTGTGCAATCCAAATGATGCATTACCTCCAAAGTAAAGGAAAGAACCACATCAGACTTGGAGAGAGTGTTCTCATCCTCCTGGCCCATGTCAATGATGGAGGTGTTGTGGCCTCGCTTCAGCTTCTGGAGTTTAAACTCTCCACCTTTTGACACAGGCATACTTTCCAGGTTGGCCATCAGCTGATTCACTGAGGACTTGAGCTCCTCGATGTACATTGCCTCCATCTCTTTAGACACAAATTTGGGAAACTTTCCTCCCTGTTGGGGGGTACAGGAAAGAGACATATAAAAAAAAAAAACTCAGAAACAAACGCTTGAGAATTTAAAGTGTTTCAAGGTCAGAGGATATGGTCAGTGAAAATACAAAACAAAACAAAACAATATAAAGCTCTGTGATGATTTTTTTTCTCCTACGAAAGCTTCAGTATGGTATTATTACTACTGGCACTATCTCTGAAATGTTAACTATATAACAAAGCATATTAAAAACAGTCTGAGGACACCCTGCAGAGTCTGACTCACCCTTGCAATCTGGTCTGCCATCTGAAGACGACCATCAAGCTCTCTTCTGATCTGTGCAGCCTGCTCATCCAGATTGTCCAGCTATTAAAAAAAAGCAAAGAGAAGAAGGTCATTTTGGTCACCTAAAAAAATAATGAAATACTTTATCAATCTAAGGGTCAACAACAATGAGTGGTACTAGCTCAACATTTTATCTCAGCATCAAATCTAAAAAGATAATCCTGAACATAGCCTTTTGAAATGGATATGCATTATTCGTGATACAGAACCAAGACAGTGGAAAATCACAGATCTTTACATGAATGAGCTCCTAGAGGATGTGCCATATAATTGATCACATTTTTCACTCATCCATTATGAAAAGCCGTTTGTCCTAGCAGGCTTGTGGGGTGTTATTTCTCTTTCCAACAGTCACCATGAAAGAGATGAAGCAGGTCGCCAGACCATCACAGGACTCTGAACATTTTTAAGACAGATTTAAATATTCGCTTACAATAAACATAAAAATTAGGTAGGTAAGTAGGTTTGCACTTACTGTACAAGTAATTTGACTTGGTGTTGGTGATGCAAACAAATTAGATATATATATTCAAAATGCAGAATCTATAGTTATGTACAATATAAAACATACAATATACTATATACAATATATATTATATAGCTATATATGACATACACAGTAGACTGTGCATTAATGTAACGCAGAAGATCTGGAGATGCTTCATTTGTGTAGCTTCTATGTCCTGAACAGGGGAGGGAGAGAGGCAGTGGAAATGTCACAGGGGTCTCTGGGCCTTGTTGATGAGGCTGGTAGCGGATGTAAAGAAACTGTTCTTGTGGAGTGAGATTTTGGTCCTGATGGACCGCAGCCTCCTGCCAGAGGGAACTGACTCAAATAGTTTGTGGCTGGGGTGCGAGGGATCAGCCACAATCTTCCCTGCGTGCCTCAGAGTCCTGGAGGCGTCCATTCAACCTTCGGAAATACTAACTAAGGGTAGTCATTGCAAACTTAGAACATTACATTATTTTCTGATGTCATAGATAAAAAAATATATATATAATATCACCGTTTCAACTGCTGTATTTTAAATCTTTCACTATATACATACAGTAGAGCCACACAAAAAACTGTTTGTTTAAAAGATTGACTAGTTTAGTAGAATAATTAATGAGGTGATAGGGGATAGTATTATCTCTACCTGAGTTTATTTTCCAAATGTTTTTCATTTTTTGTTCTGGTTATATAATTCTCAGTAAAACTGTGGCACACCTGTACAATAGACAGTTACAGTACCATGTTGTTGCATTGTTCTGTGTATTAATTTCTGGAAGATCTAGATTTTTTTCGTTCATTACGGTTAGCCTGGTTATAGAACAAAAAAATATGGAAATCCGAGTTGTTTCTCTGACTTCCAAAAACTATTATAATAGGCTTAAATTTAAGTAATGACAACCATATAAAATGGAAAATAGCATCTCACGCAAAAAGCCAAACCTGAAGTAGCCTGGAGGCTATGTACAATGGGGGTAATTTAAAGATCTATTAGGTGCATAGTTTCAGTTTGTAACTTTTTATCAATAGGACCTCAAACGACAAACGTTAATGCATCATGTTTCAAAATCTGTTCCGAAATATGCACGGCAGAGGACAAGTTTCAGTTGAGATTTATGCAAATATGTTCAATAATTTACGGGTCAATCCAAGCATATGTCTATTTAGGTGTTGATAAATATTTTTACTGAAAACACTCTTTTTTTAATGTTAAAATGTTTTTTCATTTCTATTTTTCATACAGAATTTACAACAAAGATAAACAAAATATGGCATTTACTGTTTAGTGGAAGAATTAGATGCTAAACTATGCATATATAAAATAAGATGTAGATTTATTTTACACAACATAAACTGTAATGTATTCGTGATGATTCAAAGGATACTGCTTAAAGTTGTCGTAAATTTCCTTCCAAATTAAATCTGGCTTTTCTACATGATACTGTGCAGAAATGCACAGGCAAGAATTATCTCACACATTTCCTCAGGCTTTGACAGCAGATTTAAGGCAGACCCGTTTTCTCTTCTGTCTCTGTTAAGTACCACTTAAAAATAGACTGTACCTGTTAAAACTGGCAATGAAGTAGGGTGTGTCCCGCCTATTTTCCAGACAGCTTTTTGTATTATAAATATCTGATCACACACAATCTGATCTAGAGGGAAATCCATATGAATGTTTCCCATAAACATAAAATGAGCATGAAGCTGTTTCTCTACTGTATGCACACTTGATAAATAAACAACATACAGTCCTGAATCCCTTTTATTTTGAAGTTGGAGAGCTTTCATTGCTAAGTTCAGTTATCATTGCATATTTTCTTTAATAACAATTATGTTGAGAATTCTGAGGAGTATAGAATTGTGTTGGACCTTATAGCTGAATTAAAAAGAATAGGATTTGCAGTTTCTTAGACTTAAAGGCGAAAGGCTTTGAGGACCAGTGAATCTCAGTGAATGTAGTTTAGTCTTGGAGCTTTTGAATGTTTAATGTCGTAACCTTAATGTGGGCAATTTCTCCATAACTTCAGCTGCAGCTGCCCGCATAAAAATAAGACACGTTTGACTTGTAAAAGAGAAATAAGCCCTTCATCAAAAAAGCAATTAATCCATACAATAGTTTTTTCTTCGTCATTTTTAGCGTGTCGCCTTTTTCCTCCGAGCGGCTGTGCCAATGATTCTAAATCCCATATTCATGTAATAGTTATAATATTTTCTTTTTTTTTTTATATTTGCAATTGCCAAATGTTTGTATATAAGGAAGAAAGGAGATGAAAATATCTGTCATGGATATTAATGATTTTGCTTACAGTCCTTTTAAGATTGACATTAGAGTATACCACTTTCTTATTATTTTGACTTGTTATGACACAGCAAGCAGGACCTTGGGTGAATGATGTAATTTCTCTTTTTCAAGACGAAGATTAGACTTTAAGAAAAAAAAGCAACTCAAACACAATAATCAGGACAAACATACGTTTTTTTTCTTTTAGAGTTTTTACAGCACTAGTTGCTTATTTTTCTGACAGTAGGCTGACAGGAAAGGGAGTATGAGAGACGGGGAGAGACATGCGGTAAAGGATCACAGGTCCGACTCGAACCCGGGTCAGCTGCGTCGAGGAATAAGGCCTCTGTATATGGGTCGTGCACGCTGACCACTTCACACCCGAGGACAAATATAGATTTTCACACTCTATTTTATTCTAGATTGAAAGTTTTGCGGACTCCTTTAACTTAAAAAAATGAAAATTTAACCTACACTAAATACAGTGTTTAATTTTTCATCAAAAATCAATTTCAACTTCACATATTTACTTTGGTAGATTCAGAGTATGAAAAGTAGTCTACAAATAAAGATACATTTTATTTTATTTGTTAATGGTTTCTGATGAATACATATAACAAGCAAAATATTAATAGAACTCTGTTTTTACAATCATCAAAATGTCTTTTGGACCCTTTTTTTTACTTTAAAATCAAACTTAACTTTTGAAAGTGTATGTCAAATCAGTGTTACTATAAGAGGGGGAAAAACTAGCTGCAGTTTTTTTTTTATATATTTCAATATCATCACACAGATTAGCTGCTATTTAAAATAACAGAGTATGGATATAAAAAGACCAATCAGCACCCTAGTTTCTTTCCAACTGAGTGCAATCATAGAAGCACCATGTGGTGTCATACATGAAAAGATCCAAATCAAAACCAACTTCTGCCTTGGTGCAAAAGAAAAGAAAGCAAATGGCCTCCTCATCGAAGGCACTTTGAATGGACTACAGAAGTTTTGACAACTGTCAAGAGGTTATGTTTTAGGTGAGTTTGTGTATATGTCTGGGTAGAGGATAACTTGAATAGTTTTGAATGGATTTTTGACATTTTTACCAAAGGCCTAAGAAACAATCCATTAAATCTGGTGATGGTCCACATCATAATCCGGGTGGAGGAATTTTAAAAAGGATTCATTATTTGGAGGAACAAGCAGTCCCCCCCACCCCCACCCCCCACAAACCAGAGAGTGGCAGCAGACAAAAACACAGAAAAGGTGAACCAATGCTGCTCAAAGTCTTGACCTGCTGATCAAATAAGAGTGTAGAGTGAATTAAGGCGAGAGCAGAACATTTGGTAATGATACAGATCATGTTTGAGTTTTAGCTATAGGTGTACAGTTTTGCTGCTTGGTGGAGGTATTTTCCAGTTTTGTTAAGTGTGAAGTACAGAATTTTGAATTTCTCCTTTTCTTTTTCATTTCAGTCAGCAAAATTAGAAGGAGCTCCAGACCAGCCAAGCTGAAACAACCACTAAATTAAAGCAAATTTTAATAAAAAAATATACTGTAAAACTTTGACTTTTTTCACTGTATTTGCACTGAAGTCAGTAGCAATTAGATTTTCTGAGTCCTACTTGAAATGTTTTTTTTTTTTTTTTTTTTTTTTTTTTTTACTTTTCTTCAGAATGTCTTTTTTGAAATGAAAAAAAAAAATTATATGATGTATCACATATAAGTAAAGGGTCAGGGTTATTATCTGAAACAGTGAAATAGTAGGGATGCCCATTGTCTGTGTTTTTCTCTATGCTTCTCATTCCTTCATTTATTCTCTCAGCCAAAATATCTAATTTCTGTCACATTTGATGCTGTGAGTCACCACTTAGCAACATGTTCTCAGTGAGCTGAAAAGGACAAATTTGCACTAAAGTTGAACTCAATAAGACATAAAACATTTAAACGAGCAACATGGTCTGAGTTTCCTCAAAAATATGGGTTCTCATTTAAAATATATTATTTGATTATGGGTTAATTAACCAATTAGGTGCATTTGATTACATTTTCCCCAATGAGAGAAAATTTACAAAATATGTCAACCTATAGTCAATTATCACCTTCAAAGGATTGCAATTCTGCAAACCATAAAGAAAATCCATGAAATCTACAAGACCAACTTTACTGTCCCATCTTAATTTAACAGAAAAAGTGAAGTGCATTTTTGCATTCTATTTTAATAAGCTCTTAAAAGTCATAACTTTCCAGAAGAAT